GAGGTTTTAATTGGGCTTTGGCCCATAGGATTTGCTCGAGGGTCGGGGGGCCGAGACCTCCCCTGCTCCGTAGAAGCTCCGCCACTAGAAGTCATATTGCCTCCTTCCCGGAAGCTGATAAATTGTCAGAGTGAGACGTTGTGAAAGGAAAATCGATGATAGCCTCACGTTACTATTTGAAGTTGATGAACTTCAAAGGGAAAGTTTTAACAAAACCCCCCGCTTTTCTTTTTGAAGCAACACAAAATTATTTCTTAAGTTAACTTTATTACTTATTATATTAATAAAATTGCTCTTGCTAAAGTTTACCTATTAATAGAATAATTCACTTCTATGTTCACAATAGATAAATATAGGGTCATTTGCATCTAAAACCCAAAGGTTTACCTTATTTTTAATTAGATACCCAAAGTTTTCTTTTGCCTAAAAAAACTCTAAAGTTTGGCATCCGAAAGTTTTTCTCCAAAAATATTTCCTAAAATTAAATAAAATCTAACTTTATTATCTTGAACTTAAATTTTTTGATAATTTTTTGTTAAAGTTTGAGATGTAAAATCAAGTGAGATATAAAATTAAAGTTAAACTTTTTGTTAAAATTTGAAGAATCAAAGTTAAATTTTGTTAAACTTTGGGGCTTCTTTTAGGTGAACTTTTTTTTGGAGTGGCCAAGTTAAAAAAAGAGATAATTTAGAGTGATTTAAAAAAAGACTCTGCGGTATTTAAGTGGGATAACTCTATAAATCATACTCTTTTTAAAAGAACGAGTTCGGAAAAATCTTTTTATGGTCGGTATTACCCTTAGTTTTTTTTGAATATTACATTGTTATCCTAATCTATTCTAATTTTAATCATATCTTATCTAATTCCAAATAAGTTATTTTGAATATTTCACTTAAATCTTAACATATCTAAATACTAACTATATCCTATATTAACTCCATATGAACTACCTATAACTGAAAAAATATAAAAAAAATAAGATTAAGAAATTATACGTAGATAACATATTATAATACGTGAAGTATTATAAAAAACCAAAAGTTTCAAAAATTACATATAACAGCCTTAAAAGTTTAAAATTACACCAAACACCTGACTTTTTAAAACTTAAAAACAAACATGATATCTAAAAATTTAAAACTTGTAATTAACACCCTCAACATTTTAAAATTTATATAAATAACCTCAAAAGTTTAAAGACTAAATTACATTTATATACCCTATATATGTGTTTTACTGTTGAAGCAGTTATATACCCTAAGTTACAAAATATAGCAAAAAAATACCCTGAGTTGGCAAAATTTTATAAGTTGGTACCTTCTGTTAACCAGCTGTGAGAATATTCTCTGGAATATTCTCATGTGCTGGATAACCAACTTGAATACTTCTTACCCTCATTTATTATATTATTTACTATATTACCTACCCCCCGCTAAATTTAAATAGTTACCAACTCAGGGTATTTTTTTGCTATGTTTTGTAACTTAGGGTATATAACTAACAAGAGCAAAACAATAGGGTATATAAGTGTCATTTAGCCATGTTTAAATTACAAAAAAAATATTCTAAAATTCAGAGATTTCAAAACTTAGAAACAACATAGATGGATTCCAGGGATTACCATTAGGCACATAGAAATTTAAAATTAGTAAAAAAAATAACCTCAAAGGTACAAATATTACAAAAACTCTCTCAAAAGTAAAAAAATTATTAAAAAATTTTGAAATTTTAAAACTTATAACTGGTACACATCAAATTTAGAATTTATCAGCAGATTGCTAAAATTTTAAAATTTTTAAAAAACAACCTAAAATTTTAGTAATTATAAAAATACCTTCAAAATTTTAGAGTTACGAGAAATATTCTAACATTTAAAAACTTATCACCAATACATGAAACATGAAAATTATAAGCGCCCAACTTAAAATTTAAAATTTTCATAAAATACTATCAATGTTTAAAAATTACAAAACACACCCTCAAAAGTTTAAATCACAAAAAGGCTAAAATTTAGCAAAGAAAAGAGGAAATGTTTGATATTATTACATTAAGATATAATAGGTTAGCATTAATTGATTATAATGTATAAACATTTATCTCTAATGTTGATAATATTTATTTATAAAGTAAAGAAAAAATACAAGAAGTTATGTATGGAAAAACTATCAGAAAGTTTAGAGATATCATTTAAAAGAACTAAGTTGTTTTTATTTCAAATGGAGAAGTGAAGGAAATAAACTCAAAATTCAGAAACATTCATGAATCACCTGAATTGACATTGATAAAAAGCATATCGAGCAAAGAAACACTAACTGAGTTCTCCTTGAAGATCATATTGAACAATTATGTCCTACTTAAAAAACATTATTCATGAAAAGTACAAGAAAAATTAGTAAGTATTTATAAATTTTCTTACTTTATTCTAAAAATACTGAAGGAATCATAAACTTAATATAAAAATGTTCGCGTGGAAAACTGTTGCTTTCTTCATTAATGAGATAATTGTCATCTTGAGTTACAACTTTTTGCCGAGCCACCTTGAGGTGGCTCGGCCACCGAGCCACCTCAAGGTGGCTCGGCTAAGGCCGAGCCGCCTTGAGGTGGCTCGGCTTTGGCCGAGCCCCCGCGGGCGGTGTTTTCCGACTTTTTCGAGTCGTTTTCCGTT